ATACAGAATTATGCCGAGAGCTGCTCTGAAAGCCGTCTGTAGTCAGAGCGGTGCTGACGGACTCCATCTGGCCACGTTAAGTATCTGCTTTCTGCCGGAACGGGGCAGCCCGGTTGCAGTACCCAGCGCTTGTGTGGTTGTTCCTGTGCAGAGCCACAGTCATTTGTCAGGGCTTGCAAACTTCCCATTCAATACTGGGATAAGAGAACTGGGAAGAGAGTCTCTTGCTGCTTTTGTTAAACAACTCCTAATGCCGGAGACGAATGTAGCTGTGCAAGGAACTCCAGCGCAAGGAGACGTTCTCAGCCGTTCCAGTTCATGCTTACTTTGGTAATTGCTTTCAGGGATCACGTACCATCAGGAGTCATTACCTTCTGGTGTCCATCTTTTCAAATGAAACTCAAGACGCACCCGCCCCTCCAGGACATTGCCAGTCCCTTTGGTATGATTTAGTTTTACTATAAAACATTAATGATGTAACTGAAGTTAAATACTTATGTCAGAATGGAAAGAAGAATCCTTTCCTGTGCACAGAACACAGAGAGACGGAGCCCCGTTCCCGAGGAGCTGGAGGGCTCTGGCAGAGCAGCAGGAAAGTGGAAACAGACTTCCCACAACCAAGAACAGCAGAACAAAAGGGCTCCCCTAAATATTTTTACAGCTCAGTACTGCTGTAAGTTTATTCTGTAGATTCAGTTGGATGGAGTTTGCTTTACTTGAGGGTAAGCGGCAAGCTTTAGATAGCCTGGTGAGTGGCTCCTTTTTAGGATACTTCTGCTTCCAGCCCTGGTATTTCCCTTCTAAGTTATTCTTTTGGTGCTAATCAATCCAATTAAATCGCTCACTTCTTTTTATAAAGGCGTTGGGTCAAGCTGCATGGTGCTGGGCTTTCTATTGGTACGTAGAAAGGTGCTGATAACACACCAGTGTTTTGGCTACTGCTGAGCAGTGCTCGTACAGCATCAAGGCTGTGTCTCCCCACACACACCAGTGGGCTGGAAGGGGGCAAGATCTTGGGAGGGGACGTAGCCAAGACACCTGACCCAAACCAACCAAAGCGATGTTCCAGACCATATGATGTCAGCTCAGATATAAAAACTAAGGGAAAAGGAAGAGGAGGGGGGGCATTCGTCTTTTGTGACGTTTTGTCTTCCGGAGCAACCTCTATGCGTACGGAAGCCCTGCTTCCCGGAAGTAGCTGGACATCGCCTGCTAATGGGAAGTACAGAATAAAATCTTGTTTTCCTTTTGCTACAGCACGCGGCCTCTGCTTTTGCTTTCTATTAAACTGCCTTTATCTTGACCCACGAGTTTTCTTTCTTTTCCATCTCATTCTCTCCCTGCCTGTCCTACTGAAGAGGGAAGCGACAGAGCAACTTGGTGGCACCTGGCGTCCAGCCAAGGTCAAACCACCACAACAAACATAACTATGGCTTGATCTTTTAACTTAGATATATATTGTTTTAAGTATAACAGTTTAGGTTCTAATGTAAAACAAGTGTATTTATTTGAGTGACTTAACTGCTATTTTTTTTCCCTGAGGTCTTCTCAAAAACCATGTCCAGTGAAATCAGTGGTTTTTTTCAAAAGCATAAACCCAATCTATAGCTACGTAGGTACCTGTACACACAAGCTCATGTGCTTGCTTATCTACCGGGGTAGCAAACCTGTAGTCGAGTAAGCACAGTAAGAAAGCGGAACTGCATCAACCGTGGTAAAAAATAAGAATTGTAGCACTTCAGACTCCCTGTATTCAGGCTGGTACATCTGTGACACAGCTCCCCAGAAGTCTGGGGGTGAACGTGTATGAAACAGCCGGACACGCCTGAAATTGGGTCTCGGGGAGATACAGGGGTAGGCAAAGGAAAGGAGCGCAGCCACCTCGGAAGCCACAGCCCAGGGCAGAAGAGGCGCACACAGAGGCTGCTGCGCCGCTGAGCGCCCACGGCTGCTTTGAGACCGGCTGCCCGGCCGCCCCCCCCCGGCTGCACCCGTCAAGGGGCAAAGCACCAAGGGGGAACCTCTCCGACGAAATGAAAGCGTTCAACTACACCCGCGCTTTAGAGAATGTACGTGATCGCGCTTGGACTGCGTCCACTTCACATGAACAATCAATCACACAAAAGACCGCACCCACGCAAAACGTTCAAGTAAAACCGATCCACGTGTAAGCACGGTCAGTTTGGATTAGAGGTGCTGAATCTCCGAAATCCTGGATCAAATAATTTCTAAATCCTCAGCACGTCAGACCACAGTTCAGGGGAATTTTGGATGCAGAAGTGTTTTGTGCTGCCCGTATACAGACTTTGTTCTTTCGAAAGCCGTTAGTGATACAAAATACATGTTGGCCCGCACCCTCTTGTAAACATTAACAGAGGTTTAATTCAGGGTTTTATCTTGTCTTAAAATGACTAACACATGCTAATGATTTGCTAACCTACTTATACCCAAGAGGTCATTTTCACTGTAAGTGGCATGAGGAATGTAGCACCGTGTACGTTTAAAGCAGAACCAATTTAAACCCGGGGGTTACAGAAGAAGAAGGGAAGAGAAAGGTCACATGGACCTTTCTTAGATATATTAAAAAAGTAACAACCCAGGTCTCTAGGCCAGTTTCTTCTGAAACGCGACACCGACGCTAGTGCTGAATTATTGGGAGCCACTGTACCTTTTGCACTGATGCTACGAAGATCTGTGATTTTCATTAAGATCTTTGGGAACATATGAGGCTTATTGGGTCGTCTCTTTCGGATATAAATTTTCAGCGCTTCAAGCAATGGTTCCTGAAGCTTATCCACTTTCATTGGTTCTTCAAGGTCCTGGCGATCTGTAGAAAAGTACCATATCACACGTATGATTTTAAATATATATTTTTTTTTTTTTTACAAACGCCAAATCACAGAAGCTCCTCCATGTTCTTGCATAGGACTCCATGAATTTCGTATTCTCTCCACCTAAGACCCATGCTCTGTTGCGAGTATTCCATAGCAAGAGGGTAAACCACAGCTTTCTGAAACTTAGATTAATTTTCCCTTTTTGTTTTCCCATTTCTTTTTGGCTTAGATTCATTTTCCCATTTCATCTGAGTGGTCCAGAATTACCAGTTTGCTCTTGTACCTCCCTCTCCAAGGGGAAAACACCTTGCTTCAAACAATATTTCAGAATTAATTTCGTATGTCTCACTGATAAGCGACCTAGGTATACAAAGAGATTACAGCTAATTTATTTCTTGTCTCAATACTAACATGGAGTGAGTTCCCCTTGGGTATCAGCAGATGGCAGTGCTAGCCTGAGTGACAACGAACGTCACCCATAAACCAGGATGCAGCAGCCACGAGGTAATGACATCTCAGAACCCATCAATGCTTTTGATGGGTTATGGTTAGAGACACATCAAATCGGAATGATTTTGTACTAAAGGGCCGTTGTCAACAAAGACTGACTCTTCTCTTTGAAGCGTTCTCAGTAGCACCCAGTTTGTGTTTCAACAAAATGGCCCAACTAAACAAGGTGTCCTGTTGCTAGTCCGGATTTTGCAAAGGAGGAGAGGGACTAGGTGATTAAAATAACAGACATTTACAGAGGATTTTGAAAATGATCTGAGAACTGGCTTTTTGGATTTTAAAACCATGACTTCGCCTGATTTTACTTGACAACGTTCCTTACAAATTGTAACCACACCACCCCCCCCCAAGCCATGTCATCAATGCCACTGTGCTACTTTTGAAGTATAATTTATTTTTTGTCCCAAGAAAATTATCACCAATGACCCCTGGGTGAATGTAACTATAGGCAAATGTATGCAATCATATTTATGAGAAAAAGTTGCGTAACAGGCATCATGCCATCCATATGGGTACCCATGTACCTCTTATAAAAAAAAAGCAGCAGGATATATCCTGTAGTCCTTTATCAGGATTGATAATTGCTTGACAGAATGGTTTGCCTCATTTAAAAACGTGTCAGTAATAAAACCAATAACTATTACCAGTGGAAAACAACCCTTTAGTGTTAAGTGGTTTATATAGCATAGATAATATATAATAATATTACATATATACATTTTATATAAAATATAAAGCGAAACAAGTAAAACATAAATGAAGATCTCATCGTGTCTGTCCTTTTCAAATGCATCCGAGCTCATGCTGTTACGATACCTCCACAGATTAAGCAGATGGCACTAAGGAGACCTGTTTCTGTATCATCCATTTCCAAAGGCAGGAGCTGGTTGGCAAACGTGAAGACAAGATCGGTCAGTGGGCCAAATCCAGCGTTGTGCATCTGAGTTCGGTTTAGGGTAAGGCCGTCTGAAAAGGTCATGGTGTCTTGTTCTGGTGTGTATCTTGTGCAAATTCTAAGGATCTGCGGAGGAGAGGGGAAAAAAATGAAACCTGAAGAATTCCATCCACGAGAGGTTTGTTGCATCTTCTCAATGCGGCAAACGACCCACGGAACTGCAATACATGGTTGCGTCAAAACCATCTGAAATCAAACCCCGGTTTGTTCAGTTCTAGTGGCACAAAGATTCTCCAGTACAACATAAATATACTCGACTGACGACGGGTATTTTTTATAACAGAAATTTAAGAACAGAAACTTTCCCCCTAGTTAGGAAATAATCAACACTTCTACACAATTCTCACCCCTTGGGTCACCAACACTACCCTAATATCCACACAAACGGCTCTTTCATTAGCACGCTGCGCCGCACCTCACTGTGAAACGCTACGGCACGGCTGATCTGATCCAGCAAGGTCGTAAAAACATCTCACCTCTTCGAACATACACATATTTCATTGATTTGGGGGATCAGTATTGCATGACACTGCTTCTCTGGGCTGGGTCTTTGGTAAGGATGAAGCACCTCTGCGGTCTCTTGTGCGAGCAAGCGCGGACGAGGGGGTCAGAACCCAACCTGCGCTTTGGGGTGCCCCCCTCCCTCTGTGGCGGCAGGCAGGGGAGCACCGCCGTGCAGACGCAGCGCTCCCTGGCGCAGCGCAAAGCCCTCCCGCCTCCCAGCGGCCAGCCCGGCCAGCAGCCTGAGGAGTTGGCCCAGCTTTTCTTCTTTTACAGTGGTTGTTCCTTCCGCGTGCCACAATGCTGAACCTCCTCGCCAGCCGGTTGGCCTCCAGACTCCCCCGAGGCTCCGGCGCTTCCCCCGTGCTGAGCCCTGGGCGAGGGTGCGCACCCCGCGGCTGCCTGGTGCTGGGCGCATCCTCCCGCTGCTGACGGTGTCGCTCCCTCCTGTGCAAGCCCAGGCAGTGTTGGTTTTGGCAAGTTACCTCGTGTGACGACAGCCACCCGGCGCTGACCCCGGATGAAAGCGCGTTGGAGGGGAGGATGGGGATTCACACCTCTAACTGGCCAGGGAGGAACGCAAAACGCATGAATAAAACACGGAGGATGCTCTGCATTTTGTCCATACGTGCCTCTGGGGTACGCGCAGTGCCGCGGCAGCACGGCCGGAGAGAGCCAGCGCCGGCACCTGAACGCCTTCGCCTCCCAGGGCAGACCCAGGACGCGTCCCGCGACAGATTCCATACGGCACAGGCTCGTTGGTACGGCTGCTGTTAATGGGCACTGCCTTAAGGATCAGATAAGAGAGATGTCCATCACGGTGACATATTCCTGTTATAGGTATCAATGCTTAATGTTTAAAATAATCAGAGGTGGGAGAAGGCTTATCCCTAAACCGAAATAAAACAAAACCTCGCAGAGGTCTAGCTGATTAGCTAAGACCACAGCCGTATTTTTTTCAGGGCTCGACTGTATTTATTTCCCATACAGCCATCCTACTTCGTTTTAAAGATCCAACAAAAAAGATTTACACGAATATAAGTGAGCACAGAGCGAATTTTAATTATTCCTACGGCTGCCGAAGCTCTGAGTCAGAGGCCCCAGCACTTGGCAGCTGACCAGTCTGGGCTTGGTTCTCCCACTTTCATCTTTCCCTGGCAACACTGCTCCAAATAAGCAGGGAGGAGACCGAGGAGGACATGGCATGTAAGAGACCTACAGGGAAGCTTTTAGTTCTCGTCTTAAATCCCTTGGTAAGAGACTTAACGGGGTGTAGTTCTGCAGAAGGCTCTTCTGCGATTTTCTATCTCAGCAATCATCTTATCTCACGTCGTGGTGTACATCAAAGCACTTGAGACTCCATGTGTTTGGACTGGCACGTTTCGCATCGTTCCCCTACCCCTGAATTAGAATAAGTTCTGGAAATCACTTGAATTGATGATGACGACAGGCACAAAACCAAATGCATCGCACCAAAATTCTTCACTGACTACAAATGCGCCACTAACAGAAGGGATTTTAAAAGGCCACTGGTAACTCCAAAGGTTTCGTGGAACAGCCAAAGTGTATTTCGTGATTATTAGCAGAAATTAACATTATAAAGCATGCCGCCCCGTCAATAAGAGACAGCACGTTTATTCCGCACTGCCAGTAACCACTGACAGTTCTCTCCCCTGAAGTTCGCTGTTGGTTATCCTTTTCGATCAGGACAAGGATTGTATAGAAAGGAAAAGAAACACGCAGAGTTTGCTGTTTTCAAGAAAAGCAAGGTTTGAAAACTTTGCGCATTTATGGAGAAACCCGTGAGCTACTTGGTTTTCTTCTCTAATGGCACGCAAGAGAAACGGGAGCGCAGCTCTTCCCATCTGAAGCCCGCAGGGAGGCTGCCTTCCAGCGAGGGTGCGTGGCCTGGGATGATTGGGCATCCAACTTTGGAAGGAACAAGGCTCTGCACTTCTTCAGTGGTACTGATTTTCCCTCAGCTCAGCTGGGGAAAAAGGCAGCCCCTTTCATTCCACTGCTATTTTAATTGCCAAGCCTTAGAAACGAGAGTTCCTCCCTCCACACCCTCGGGACTCCCAGCCCAACAAATTAGTGGAGTGGGACTTGGAGCTAAATTGGGCAATGCTGTGGTGTTTCCCAAGGCTGCCTGCAGCCCCCCGGCAGCTGCCTGAGCAGGGGTGGCAGATACGGTTCCTCCGTATCCTCCCTCTGAGGGCAAGCCTGGATACTGGCTGCCAGCACCGCGCCGCCCGGAGACTCCTGGCCCAGAGGGACTGGGGTGCCCCGGAGTGGTTTTCCCAAACAACCTGGAGGCCAAACGCACGCCTCCGGCCGTACACCAGGCTGCTGGCTCCCTCGCTGCAAAGCAATCCCTGCTCCCCCCCAGCCCAGTGCTGTAAGCCCCGCTCTGTTTAGGGGTGCATGCTGGGGATGGTCCACAAAGACCTACCAGATCACCGCCCCCCCAGGGTGCACGTGGAGGAAGACTTCCAGGGTGGATCCTCATCGGGAATGAATTTGAGGTTAGGTTGCTCAGCCTAGAGCCCCTGGGGGCATGCACAGAAAGAGGCTTCCAGGGGGCTTGGGAAATTTGTAATTAAAACATAAAGGTCCTGTGGAATTTAGTGACTTCCAGGCAACTTAGGCAGCAACTGGGATGGAGTTTTGCAAAAGGAGGGCTTCAGGCTTTCATCCCCAAGTGCTGCGCCGGCCGCTAACAGGAGGAGCCTGCAGCAGCTCTGCCGGGCACCGGCACAGCCGAACCTCAACCCTGTGCTTTCTGCAATGCACTTAGCTTGACTGCAGCCATCGGGTCTCAGGTTTCTCCTGCATTCCTCTGACATTATTCCACAACACGCTCTTATTAAATTCCGAGACAGATCATTTGAAATGTGGCTGCTTTTTGGGTTGGTTTTTTTGGGGATTTTTTTTTTTTTTTTTTTTTTTTTACATTTGTGTCCTTCATCAAGATCTGCAAAACGCCATGGATATTGCTAAACCTTTCTCGGGCAAACTTCCAGTGTCAAAGTGAAGCTGATTTCAAGCTCACATTCACTGAAGAACATATGGGATGTGTCAGCACTTCAAAATAAGAAATCACGGTCTCT